TTGAGTTTCAGGCCCGTCAATGTTGTCCACAAAAACGTCTGGACCAACCACAACGTCTGGACCAACCACATTTGTCACAAAATCGCCATGGCTCTCAACGTCTGCTTCAATAACGCCAGAGACAACGGTGACTGGTGCGACTGTCACGGGAACGAAAGGTGCCCCGAGCCTACTATAATAACTTGAATAGCCATGCCTATCTCTAGCAATACTAAGTTTTCAGAGCGTGTTATAACAACGACAAGGTCAACCACGTCTGTTGAAACTACTAAACCGTCAGAGGAAGTCACGACAACGTCAGTTCCGACCAGGACTGCTACGAAAGTTTCAGGTTTTTCAGAATCAGTTACAAATTTTTCGGGTCCGACTAGACCTGTTACAGAAACTCCAGAACCAACGCCAGAGTCAACAATTCCTGTCACCCAGAGTCAAGGGCCTCAATCACCTATGTCAACTTCAAACCCAATGACTTCCCTAAGCTCAACAAAGTTAACGGAAACTCCAACAATCTCTGATTCAACGACCTCACTTAAAGAAAGACCGTCAACCTCTCGTTTTTCCCCCAAATTCTCAATCTCCTCTGTACTGCCATTTATGACTTCTACACACGCAACCGCATCCTCTCAGTCGTCCGGAACAATATCGACGCGAACGCGAATCACCCAGCCCACTATAACATATCCGAGCACAACGACTTACAGTTCCTCGATAATGTCGCTTTTAAACTCGTTGCTTGTTGCTACGCTAATAGCCTTTTTGTGGTAAATCTTAAGTTTAGCTGAATTATTCATTTTCCAAATGAATGTGCTGAATTTTTTACACTCTACCATCGTCCAAGAAAAATTACAATCACTGTTATATTGCAGATGCCTGTCGCCAGCATACTTGTACTAAGTTTTATTTAACATAATGTGCGGAGTTTTGGTCTACTCAACTAAAAATTAGTCGAGTGAATTGATAAGTCGTAGCTGGTTCTACCTTTAGTACTAATATTGTTTTCAAATGAACATTTGTTAAAACTTAATCCCATCTGCAAATTTTCGAGGAGATACTGACTTCTTCAACGTCAAATAGGCACACTGTTCATTAATTCATTCGGAAAGTGACAAAGAAGACAGGACGTCTTCGCAAAAATGATAATTAATTGGCTTACATAAAAATGCTACTATGATAATTAATAGGTTTACATTGCGATTAAACGTTAAAAAAAAACATAAATACACAGGTAATTTTAAGATAGCTATCCAATGATTTCTTCTAATAAAGAAGCATAATAAAGACAAAGCACAGGTATGCAAATCCTGTTTTTTTAAATTTGCATTTCCGTTCGCAAGATTTTTCATACAGCGTAACCGCATTTGCTAAGATTTCTCCTTGTCTTCCTGCACGTTTACTTGATGGCCTTTCTGCATCGCGCTTCTGATCTGTCTTCTTTTCGCAACTTTTCTATTTTATAGTCACTTTTAGAAATACCCGCAGTTTCGAAATCTTCCATTTTTTTCTCATTGTTCACTTTTGACTACTTACCCTTTGATTCGAAGATTTCTAGAACGGCAGCAGACCGATATCTTGCTTAGGGGTCTTACTGGTTCTAGCTTCATTTCTTCCATAGATGTATTTGTTCTGCTTGAAATTACATATCTATTTCATTTTAATTTTGCAGAAAAATGAACGAAACCTAGTGGTACAGGGCTTAAAGGAGAAAGCTGTCTCAAAAGTGTGATATGACCTGTTATTAAGGATATAATTGTATTACTCGTAAGATTTAGTATTGATAAGGTTTTCTTGCATGCTATGAATGAGCTGTGCAATTTCAAGCCCTACACAAGTTTTCTGTTACCAAGGGTGCCCCATATTCACCTGAGCAATCGTACATGCCCGCGATCAGGTCAGATCAGGCAATTTTTGGTGGTAAAGACCGTTTCTGTCTATGCGAAGAGAGTGCCAAAGAGTTTGGCTCAACTCCTTTTTCCAAAATAAATCTAGTTTCAGAAGCAGGTAGTGATGCGCTATAGTGCGCAAAAAAAAGACGCAACTCCGAAATACTTTCGGCCACTTTTGCCTTCATCCACAATGGGGAATGCTTTTATGGTTATTTTCGCAATCCTTCAAGTGTATGGTAAGTATTAGTTATTAGATTAATCTTTGCCTGTCAATTTCAGCACCTGGCTGCCCCTAAAGGGCATGCGAGAAACCGACTGAGATATACTCGCATCACATGAATTCTAATGTCTAACAAAGAATATCGAGAAAAAGCTAAAGGCTTCCCCAAGGCGACGCGTGTGATTAGGGTAAGAGCCACCGTCTTATGAGCGGAGAGGGGTAAGAAGGAAATCCTCGAAGGTAAGTTCAATAACTTAGAGACGCTTCGAATGGCCATCTTCAATGTCAATCTTTGCTGGGTGACATTGAGAGTTGGTAGATCTCGTGAGAAGGCGATGAGTAGATATAGCCTGCGTACAGGAAACGAAAGGGAGGAGTGGAAAATTGCGCGAGATTTTACAAGGTCATAAGCTCCTCTACAATGGCACGAGCAGCAGTTAGGTGTACAGCTCAGAAAGCCCAAAAACTAAGATTGCCAGAGCATACAAATATGGAGAAAAATCCGTTACACCAGAACATCTTGTGCTCCCCAAACGTTGCAGTGGAGGAAAAGAATAAGTTCGCAGGAGCTTGATGATTACGTCAACATCCATATGGAGGATGAAAGACTCTTAAAGTAAACCTCAAGTGCTCTACCGCGTCACCATGGTGCGGGGGTGATTCTGGTGTCGGACAAAGCGTAGTGGAGATTTATCCTGCAGCAGGGTCCCCGAGAGGACGCTTCCGGGCTTAAGGATGCCCGCTAAGAGTAGGCCATACCAAAAGCCTCACCGTCTGGCTGATTAAGTAGCTAGGTGATTCCCTGACCCATAGGTGAGCGATTGCCTGTGAAAGCTTGGTTGGCTCTAGCAAGGCTGCTAAGTTTGGAGATTTATTCTATTGCTTGTACAGCATATGAAAGGTAGAAAAGCCCTGCACATCGGATCACACTCCAACGACGTACGTCTTAAGGCCAGCGTGAGATTGCACCGGACGTCATGGATATTCCAAAAGGACACGTCAACGACTTGCCATGGGGATTGTCTCAATGCACCTACAAGCCAGGAAACTCCAACAACGCCGACTTTCACGCTTTCTGCAGGGCGCATCAACTACCATGTAATCGCCTTGCAGGAAGCAAAGACCAGGAAGACGGACGTGAGGCACATTCGTGGTGAAAAGTTTCCATCACGGAACGTTAGAAGCTATGGATTTATCATATACCCATCTGTTGCCCACCTTGTCGATCGCACGAGGTTCTATCACATTGTCTGGCTATCCTCCGACTCCGTCTTTTGCATGTGAAAACTATCTCCATCATCAACTGCTATTCTCTAACATCAGCAGCTGATAAATCGAAAGGATTTTTCATGAAGAATCGGAAGAAGTAATCCACAAAATTTTTTTTACAGCTTTGTTGTGGGGGGCTTCATACTCCAAGGGAGCGAGAGGATAGGATAGGGAGATTTGGATTAGGACTCCACAATTGGTAACTGTCTTGGTGGGCTCTTGTCCAACGCGCGATTTTTTCATGGCAACTCTATCACCCGGGGGTGGCGAATCTGGAAATCGCCCAACGGTAGGACTCATGCGGAGATCGACCAAATACTCACCAACCAAAACGGTGCTTACTAGATGTCTCAATGGTGCCATTCTTTAGCAGTGGATCACCGTCCCTTAGAGCAATAGTGCGATTCAGCCGAAAGATGAAAAAGAAGATGTTTACCGTTTTGGAAGAGGGAATATGTCGTATATGACGGCGTCAGGTTGGAGGCTCCTAACAATTATGACAGGCCATCGAGGAGGACCCAACAAAGGACAACCTCTTTCTTAGAAGACTGAGAGTCTGTGAAGGTGCCTCAATGCCTCGAACAGGGAACTCGGGACGAATTTCGAAAGCCACCAAGGGTCTGCCAAAGAGGAGAGGAGCATTAAGGCTGGATCTGACTGCATCACATCTCGAGCGACTGTTAGCCAATACCAGTTGCAGAACAACTTTGCAAGAGAATCTTCGAAAGTACAGGCAATTGAAACTTTTGGAAGCAGCACAAGGAAGTAAAAGTTGAAGAAGTGTCGTCGGGACCTTCTCGACTACCGTGTTCCGCTGACAACAATTAAACGAAGACGGGACTCGCACATCTTCCCGATAAAAGATGGATCTACCACGAAGAGATCTACACCAATCTCTTACTCATCAACACTCGTGCCGAACCCCATTATCCCTATAAAGAAGTAGCACAACGCATTCTACCTGTTGAAGTACGCGGCGCAATGCAGACCATGAAGGCAGCCACAGCCCCCAAAGCTGTTTACCGCCGCGTTGCAGTGGGTGAGGAAATCACTAGAATGGAACGAGAGAAATATACGAGTTGATGGGAGATTCCTCTCGAACCTTTGTTTTGCGGATGATATTGTTCTCTTCTCGAGAAATATTGAAGCTAAGACGATGTTGAAGGAACTAAACGAAGTAGGGAAGCAGATCACTGGGAATCAATCGGAAAGACTCAGTCCATGAAGAACGCTTTTTGCGAGGTTCAGGAAATGGAATTAGAAGGCTCTCCAATCGCGAAGACGTCTTCTTACGTATATCGCGGATGTTCGATAAACTCGGAGAACGATCTGAAAGCTAAACAGGAGGCAACGAGCAGCTTGGGCTGCCTTCGAGCCGCTAAAGGAAGCCATAAACCAGCTGACGGACCCAGAGATTCGCCCACCTGTTCCAACCGTTCTCCCTGTGCTCTGCTCAGCAGAGAGTGGCCTGACACTGTGGTTACGTCAAAACTTCTCCGAACAACCCATAGAACGCTGAAACG